ATAAAGATACGATTTATGACCACGTAACCATTGTTGTTGCTGTAGTTTAATGTCCATTCCCAAATTGTTGACGAATTCCGCCTGCTGGCGACTTAAAGCGACAAACATTTTGTGCCATTCATTGTTGTAGCTGTGCGCTGATTTTATTTTTATTTTTTTTTATTCGCCCAGCTGCGTCCCCACATTTGTTCCATGTGCAATTTTTGCATACTTCAGCAAACGCGTCATATTTTCGAGTGGTTTCGCTAACATGCAAAGGACACTTCAGAGCCCAAACACAAGTGGATCCTTTAAGAGCATTTTTTTTCTACAGTCGTGTTCTTGTTGCTGCTGCTGCTGCTGTTGTTGTTGTTTGTGTTGCTGCCGGCCTGGGGCTTGAGTGTTGCTACATTCTGAATTGGAACAATCCCTGTGCCTCGGCTGAAACTGTGATGATGATGACGTTCTGATGAGCCTTGTACGGCTGATTGTATTCTCTATCTAATGTACATATATATAAAGGCAGGTACGCTTTGTATATGGAGGGAAGACTGCTGAGACAGCAAATATACCAATATTATGGCATATCTTATATAGAGTTATTATTTGGGGAAGGTTTCCACTAGGATTATGCAATAGGTTGACACAATCGGTTAACTCTTTGAATACTTGCTAACAAACTAGTTGACGTTCAGCCAACTGCATAATAAAACATTTGCACAAGTGTAATTCATTAGATTGGTCATTAAGCATTCAGGTCGAATGCTTGTGGCCAATCTCGACGCACAATGCGATCGAACCCGAACTCTTTCAATGTGCAACATGCACATGCACACAATGCTTGCCATTTCCGTTTCCTGTTTGCGCTGCAGCTCACGCACACACACACACACACATGCACATGCACACAATGACAACGACATATCCTGCACATAATGTGCATATCATTTACGGTGTCAATCAGGACAGCCGCAGTCACCTGGCCGCAAAAATCAACAGCACTGCACAGGACACACTTCAAATAGCAGCTGTGTGTGTGTGTGCGTGTGCGTGTGCGTGTGTGTGGGTCTGTGCAACTGCAATATCCTGTGCGGAATGTCCTAGGCTTCACTCGACCATTAAATGTATTGCGGTCATTTTAATATAAAATAATTAATTCCAACACAAATATTTATATCAGCAAAAATATGCCGCATAATTGATTCGTTGGCAGCCAACACGAGAGGGTCGAGGGAAAGGCAACGATATTTACTCAGATTCAGAATCTGAATGTGATTCAGCGACAGAGACGGCGACGGAGGCGGGGAGATAGAGCTGTGCAGCGGACAGTGTCTATCATTGGCATTCAATTCAATCACAACAATGAAATAAACATAATGAAATACAATATAAATACATTAAATGCGCTCCCTGGCAAACAGTCAACTGCACTTTCGCATACAATTCCATTCAAATTATCGATTTCCATGCCAAATTCCGCATTTGGCAGTGGGGCGAACGGGGCGGTTGGTCGCTGCCAGCTTCATTTAGCAATTAAAAGCCTTAAAGTACGTAATCGATATATGAAATAAATAAAATGACGTTTAATTAAATTGTCACGACCTTTTGGCCAAAAATAACATCACAATAGAGCTTAATAAACTTTGCAATTCTCTATCAATAAATGTATATATAATATAAACGGGCTTAAATCATTTGATTATTGGCCATTTGTTATCCCAAATGAAATAGAAATATTCAACTCACCAATTCATAAAACCAACCATAGAGAATAGCATTTAGTATACAGAGTGTATAGACACTATGAGTTTTCCAGCGAACTCATAATACCCCTCATGTGTTAGTGCTTAGAATTGCAATTCAACGCGTCTCACAAATTAACCGCATTCTTCAGTTTTGCGTGTTTGTTTTCGTTATCATTTGCATCATCATCAGCGCGAGACAATTTTATAAATACTACAAAGTTCAAACAGAGTATATTGGTGATGCTTGATTTTCTTAGTAATTTTTTGGAAATAATTTTAATAAAATTCAAATAATAAAATAAATAATAATAATTACATATAGTAATACAACTGCTCGATAAAGGTAAATATATTATTTAATTTGAGTTTTATGTCTGGGCATAAAATATATATTTTAACTATTAATAAAGAATCCATAAATATTATCTAAGATATCCGACTATACATTCTTGGCGAATATCTTTCCATATTTCAAGAGTCTTTAGAATGGTTTTGGAGATCTTAAGTCTCGCAGGGAGTGGGCACAGGGTAACTTCAAGTCGTTCACATTGACACATTCATATTGCTCTTTTTTTCTAAATTAAGTTTCTTGTGGCGCGCATCACAAAAATGTGACAGCTAGTTAATGACCCGCATTCCTCTCTGGCCTGCGTTCCCTCTCCACGTACCAATGACCACTCAGCACATACTCTGGCCCGGCCTCATGTTCGGCTGCCTTCAATTAAACTCAATTGGGTTTTATGCCGCTTAAAACGCCTGCGCGCGTGCTTCAATTTAGTTAGTGAGTTTGTGCTACGAGCAGAGACGATCAGCAGCCAGCTCCATGGCCAGCTAACAAATGCACTTTGCAGCTGCTGCTGCGGCGAGGCGATAGGCAAATGAGTTTGCGCATTAGAAGACGCTTCTATGCTCAGCTAGGTGGTGGGGGCAGGCGAAGGGGTTGGCCCGCTGTGCGCCGCCTGTCAGCATATCAACGCAATTTGTGCACTCGCCAATAGACGGCGGCAAATTATGGCCAGCGATGCTCGCCGACTGCGCAAAGTGCCTCATAAATTCACGTCGCTGATGAAGTGATAGTGAGACAGAGCCGAAGCCAGATCCGAGCCAGAGCTGAAGCCAGGCCGTAGCTGGCGGCTGGAGGAAGTGCAGCAGCAACCGCAACTGCCGCGTCTCACGGCAGCTCCAGCTCGTGTCTGCAGATTGTTTATGGCAGCGGCAAAGTTTTCTCAATGGCTCAACTCATGTGCCGCAGATACGCCGAGAAATGGTCACACCGACGCGTGAGTTGCGGCCGTGAGGCAATTAGAAAGTACCTACATTTTGACAAGCAAAATTGATAACTAAAAATTAGTTGGTGCATTTAGCTTAAATATTTGTTGAATGTTACAGTTGCTCTATAGGAAACCAAGCAGAGCTTAAGACACTTCCGTGTCCTTGTTGTGTCGCACTGACCTTCGTCTGAGCTGGAGCTCGCGCCTCGCCGTAGTCAAGGACAATGCCGTGTAATTGAAAGAATGCGACTAAGTTGTAAAGCAAATTTAAGAACATGAAGTGACCGACAAGGATAACAAGGACTCCAGCCACCACGCAAAAAATATGTCATATAAAAATAGCTAAAGCTTGCCAGAGATATCCACCAAGACGCTGCCATAAGCACAAAAGCAAACTCTAGATAAAAAATTCAATAAGCCGCCCAAGCTGTTGAAGGAGGCAGGACTCGAACTATGACCGCTTAGCTGTAGCGGTGGCTGCCGCTGCGACTGCGACTGCGACCGAAACTGAGGCTAAGAAGGAGGCCAATAAATAAAATTAATAGAAACTCACTCGAACAGCTTCACCAGACTCCTGCTCTGCTCCTCTGCATCTACAGGGACCGGGTCTGGCAGGGCTTTGCTGGAGCTTTCTTTTTATTATTTTGTTGACTTGTTGAATGGCCAGGCGTTAGCAACTGTTGAATAGTACTTAGCTGCCCTCCAGACCAGAATATACCGACTACATATTCTAAAGTGGTTCAAGAAATGTTAAAGTTTGTATACTAGAATTTAAAGCAAATTAAATCAGTGAGTAGCGAGTGTGAAAATCTTTAATGCATTTTATTGTTTGCCTTTCATTTTTTTTGCTAGGCTTTACTGTGATTAGCCTTTAAATTGCCGCAATATGTATGTATCAATTAACCATTCTACCGACCTAGGAGTTCCCACAGTCCAATCCATATGTCTGAATATTATTTGGCAATACAAAAGATTGGCTGCATCTGCCACAGTGATTTCTATGCGCAATTCATTCGCCACGTTGCTGACCTCGTATTGAACTGCCATAAGAAATCACTCTGCCAGGCCGAAATTGCTTATGCGGTGAGCTGTGAGGCAAGAGGTCTGCCAGATGGCGTACCGCCCACTTTTAACACTTGCCACAACAATGGAGCGCAAATATTTGCGGAACCCGGTGCCAGTGCTAGAGCCAGGCCTACAGCTAGAGTTAGAGCCAGAGCCAGAGCCAGAGCAAGACATTGCCCGTGAGGAGATCAATGAGCGACTGTCTGGCTGGCTGACTAGCTGGCAGCTTCAATTTGAAATCCAATAAAATTTAATTGGAAACTTCATCACGGGTGCGAAAATTCACACTTGGCCTGGCTAGGCCAAGTCAGGCCGAGCAGTCGGGCCGGGCCGAGCCAGGCCAGGATAGGCGAGGGCAGGGTAAAGTCACGGGCACGACTCGGCTGCCGTTTGCCGTAAATCTCATGCACCTGGCGGCGACTGGTAACTCCAGCTCCAGCTCCAACTTTGATGTCGGCTCTCTACGACGCATCGCGATAAGGAAATATTTTTCATATGAAACCGCTGCGCATGCGCCGTCCTATTGGCCTGCTTCGTTCCGTTATTGGCCATGGCTCAATGGCTTATTTATGTTTTTCCTTTAGCCATGCCATATCTTGTGGCATTGTCGACATTAATCGCTTTGTTGCGCCAAAAGTATAACATGAAATTGGATTGATTTATGTTATAATTACAAAAGCAGGCGCATATCGCCAGCTAACGAAGAAAATGTGCCTCAAAGAGCCAAATACAAGACAAAACACAAGCCCAATCTCTCACAATACATACAATCATGGCGAAGAGATAGCTCCAAACAGAGGCTGTGCATGCCTAAGTGTCGGGTAAAAGTCATTAAGAAGGCAAACCCAACGGATAATGGGGAAAGGCTCTACGTGAACTAGAGTGACGATTTGTATAATCTGTTACGAAAGGCGTCAAAATGGCTTGCTTGTCTCTCGAGTACTGTAATGAAGTTTTAATTTTTGATTTATCTTATATATATGTTGGGGTTAATACAGTGAGTCAACTGGCAACGAACGCTAAGTGAGAGCTTTGCTCAATGTTTGTGGTCCTATTCTAATTTCAAAATCCAAGCAAGCATAAATTTCATGTTGACCTTTCTCTTGTCTCATCTTGTGGACTACAGAGCCCAAGAGCTATTCATTTATGCAATTTGTTGACTGCACTCCGTGCCATACCATGCTTGCAAATAAAACACATCGTTATTCCTATTGCATTATATAACTGTAGAATTTTGATGGCTCTGGCAGATTAACAGCACTCTACCAGAGAGGAAGTCAAAAGCTTTGTGCTATTTTAATAGGTCTAACCAAAGGCAATTAAATATTAAGTCTTCAGAGAAATGCTGGATTCTTTGTGTCGTGCCAATCAAATAGAGCGATGTATTGCGGCTAACCATCTTGGAGCTTAGTTATCGGGATTACAGTTCTACTCTATGAAATCCCACCAGTCCTTTTCATAACCCTCACGCACATGACAAAGGAGGACGGTTCGTCGTTTGCGACAATAGTGAGATAGATCCAGAACCTTTTGCTTTACCTCGCACAGATTCTGAACAGTTATTTCGCGCTCCAGGCACTCGGATATCTTCTCTGTGGCCATTTCCATATCGCGCTGATTGTCCTCGAAGATGATCTTCTGGTTGTTGTTGCGCAGATAGAAGGCAAACACATAGCTGTACATGAGCGTTGCCCGACATTGGCATAGGACATCGACGGCCTCCTTGAGGAACTGCACTTCGATCCAGCTCATATTCTCCTGCATGTCGTTCATCTTGGCCTGAACATTGGCGTACAGCTTATGCTCCATGCGCATGCTCATCATATGGTTCATATAGCGATTATAGTAGTGCAGGTAGCGCGCCATTGAGGACCGGTAGCGCTCCTGTGCCTGCCTCGCCTGCTTGCCCTCCTCCTCATCAAAGCGATTGCAGCTATACCATGAAGAACCGTGCGGCTCCCAGGAACCCAAGCACACCCAGCAAAAGTCATAGCGGCAGGAGGGATTCTTACACACCATGTGATTGCAGCCCCCATCCTTTTCGATGGTCACATTGCATTTGGGGCACTCCTTGGTGTGCTGCGCAATCCAATTGGACGTCTCCGAATCCTCATTGTTCTTCTTCAGCCACCTCTTCAGCCAGGAGCAGCTAACAGGCTCGTGCCAGTTCTCCCCACATCCAAAGCAGAATTCATGTCCACACGCGCAACGTACGGCACGCGGCTCGCAATAGCTGGCTTTGATGGCATGTGTGCAACTGGGCGCCGGACACCAGCGCATAAGAGAATTGCATTCCACGAAGGTGTTGGTGATCAGCTGCTGGTAGCGCGCGATCACGTCCGGATTGTCGGCCAGCTTGACGAATGATACATCATCGACCAGAATATCGCAATCGGTCGCAGGACAGGTAATGCTGTGAGCCAGTCCCTCGCTGCAGGTCTTGTTGCCCAAGTACTGTTTCCAGCAGGCGGCGCAGAAGGCATGGCCGCAGTCCAAGCCCTTCAGCTCGTCGCAGGGGCAGTAACAAATGCCGCACAGTTTCTCACGCCCACTCACACTTGGGGCAGACTTGAGGCTCAGCTTCGATGGCGTTGCGAAGGGATTCACTACATGGGCGCGCCGGAAGAATTCCTGTGGACTGCTCTCAAAGTACCTCTCGAAGAGCGTCTCCTTGTCCCATTTGTAGTGATTCAATATGATTCGTGTGACCTGCGGCGACAGATGCAGCACATTGTTGACTTCATTAATGATGTTTCGCTGGTGCTGCACTATCTGGTCCGATGTGAGGACCGTGTACACGAACTCATCGACCTCGACGCTTCGCCTGGGCCGTTCCGGTAAATCGATTTCCGTGCAGGTGTCCTCATCGCTCTCCACACAAGTCATGAACGAGGATGGGCTGTTTACGAAACGTTGTGAATCTCCGTGATCTTCATCCGAGTATTCGTCGTCAGAGTTCATATTCGAATTGAAATAAGAAAAGTTCAAACACTCATATAGCGGATTCTCGGACTACTTTGATACAGTTGAATAAACAAACCACCTCCTCTCCAGTCAGCTGTTGAGTTCTTCTGACCCTTGTTCGCTCCAACTGGCGGCGGACCCTAGCCCCGGCTCTCGTCTGTCTGGTCGGTAGCTTCTGATTGTCTACGGATCGGATAACTGCAGCATTCGTCTGATTGTTGGCTGCCACGAACTTGATTCAGAGTTGCTTGTTATATCAAACACTTTCGATGTAATTAAATGTTGTGAGTTCTTCGTATTTCTACTGAAGACTGAATTCTAGGCTGACAATTTTATATTTTATTTTTTTTTTTTAAATTGATTAATTTTGCCAGCCAAGGCTGCAAACTTGTTTCAAACCGAACCGGCTCCGGAACCGAACCTGAAAATGAACCAGTTTCTCTCTATGACGCCCAAGTTGCGAATTCAAATAATTCAAAGCGATTTCTTTGTAGTTTACTGTCAATTTCGACTGTATAAAATATAAAAAAAATAAATTAATATATAGTAAACTGTTTTTGAGTATACTTTGAGAACAATTTGTTTGTCTCATACGCCACTTGAAGTTATTAGTGATGAAATTATTAGTCTCTGGAAACCTTCTGCTAGCTCTGGTATTAACTTAGTCGAAATAAAGTTTAAATATAAACTTTTAACTGATAGAATAACAAAACCACTTCAAGTCGAATATTATGTATAATGTTTGACTAACGTTTCTGAATGTTTAATCAAAAATTGCTCTAGAAAAATGCTGCTTTAACTTTTTATATTTTAGTCAGATTGATTCTCATAAATGTCTACAGATCATGTAGGTATTATATATGTATAAACAAATTGAAATTTCATGGCGGTTTGTAATGGTTACTTAATATTTGAAAAAAAGAACTGTATTAAATTCAATACTTTTTAAGGATATTTCCAATGCTGAAAATATATTTATATAAATACTTTTACATAATTTCTTATGCTAAAAGGTAAAGTCGAAAAAATGTTCTCCTATGAATTAAAGTGGAATTATTCAATTTTAAATGGTGATTGTTCAACAGATCAGAAAAATGTTTTAATTCTCAGATATGCATTCAGTAGAAGTTGCAATATTCATAGCTTTGCATTTAAAGTTGCGGCTTTTTCTACTCTTGTGGTACATAAAAATGCATTGGATTTGTACTCTGCTGGTTCGGTGCTCAGGACACTATAAAAAAGCGCCTAAAAGCTTTTGGCGTATTCCATAGCCATAACCCCTTCATTGTAGTGCAGAGGAGAACAAAGCAGTGTCTCAAGTGGCGAGGGTAAGGTACAAAAATTGCGATAACAACAACAACAACAACAACAACAACAGCAGCAGCAGCAGCAGCAGCAGCAATAGCGAAATGCGATATAAAAGTACAGTAGAGCTACACACAATCAAAAACACACACATACACACAGTCAGACGAACGAGTATGCGAAATGAAAGTGAACGAGCGCACAAGGATAATGGCGGATAGCGGTGCGGGTAATGAGTGTGCATAATGCATATGCAGCAGGAGCAGCAGCCATTCCCATTGAACGTGGCGAATGCCGCGAATGGATTCAATCTGCCTCGCTTTGCATATATGCACATACAAATACAAATATAAATACGAATACAAGTGCGCATACATATGTATTTATGTGCACTCGTACTACGGACAGATTTTTAAAACAAAAGCCGACTGCTAACCCGCCAAAAGCAGCAGCCAGCATCAGCGAGCGGCAACAACAGCAAAAAAGCATTACAAATAAAAATGCAAAGTCGCCAAATAGCAGTAGCAGCAGCAGCAGAGGCCGCCGCAGCAGCAGCAACCACAAATCCCTTTCATCAGCTCAAAGACTGAGACGAAGGGGAAAGTCGGCGGCGAACCCTTTCCAGCTGCTTTTCAAGTCTCAGCCAAATTACAAGAAATCCTTTCGTGCGCGTGAATGCTTTGGAAAAATATAAAAAAAAAAAAAAAAAAAAAAAAATGAAATGGAAATCAAAAAAGAAAAAGAAATGGAACGAAAACGTAGCAAAAGCCGGGCAAAGAAATACGGAAAAGGAAATAATTTGACCATTTGCAGCAAATGCACAAAAACAGCCGGCAAATGACAACAAAAGGCAGTCAGCCACATTGCCACAAGGGAACTCGCTCCGTTGAGGGGAAGAGCCGAAAAGGGGGGCTTGAGCGTGTCATGTCATGTGTGGGCAGCTTTTGGGTCGCCTGAGCATTGCATTGCAAGAATTTCTACGCTGCCAATGCAAATGAGGACGCGCCACTTGTTGGCCACGACTTTTTATCATTGACAATCGGGCAAAGGCTCTTGCTCTTGCTCTTGCTCTTGGCCTAGCTCTGACTCTGACTCTGGCTGAGGCGCAGGCTCTGGCCACGTCCGGCATTTACTGATGGTCAGCAACGATGGCCAAGTTCATGGCCCTGACGTGACCACGCCACGGCATGCCATGCCAAATGACCAAGCCATCTTGGCCTGCCTGCTAGCTGATGATGATGACGATGATGATGATGATGCCACTTGGCAGATAGGCCAACTCGGCGAGCATCGCCGCATTTTTCTGCGCCTACTTTGGCACACAACTATTTGCGGTGAATTTTCTTGAGAAATGTTTTCTGCTAATGCGGCTGGCCTCTGTTGCGTGCGGTTGTGCCACAGCAGCGGCCAGCTGATTATGTCCAAGTACTCAAATTCACAGTCAATGCCTAAGGATGTTCGCTTGAATCACATGTAAATTAGCGAGCTAATTACAACAGAGTCACACACACACACTCACACACAAACTCATCACTCAAAACATAATAAAGCCAAACAGAACAGAACATTCATATGGATGTGTGTGTGCTGATCGAGGCGATAAATGCGGCACATCGCATTATAATTACTGTTCATTGTGTGTATTTCATATTCGGAACACTCATTTTTTTGTGGCTGAGCAAAATTAGCTGGAAATCAGTCAGCATGAAGCGCCCCACACACACCCATGTGTTTGCACGGGAAGAAAATCAGCGCTTGGAACTAATTTGTTTTTGATGCGACTCTTAAAATAATACAGAAATAAATATGACTTAGATTTGAGCTCCGAGCCGAGATGAATTATTGCCATAACAGTACCAACAGCCAGCCAACAGCCAACAACAGAATCAATTCCGTTGACCTTGAGGCCTCACTAAGCGGGCTTAAGGTTTCGGTAGCCGTAACCGAGGCGCCGCTTCATAAACATAATTAAAAATTTAATTTGATACTTTAGCCACTGCTAGAGATTTATTATGTTAAGTTATATCTTTAAACAGTAGACTTAAATTGCAATTAAACGCGATGCGATCATTTATCAAACGTTGCGGAATTTCTTCTCACTGGGCTACATACTTAATGAATGGTTTCATACATTTATTAACATTTTTTCAAAAGCTACTCTATGTATAATTTAAGACTCAGGTCTGAAGTGTTAACTTCTTATATTTCTTAACTGTTTAAGTTAAGCATTATTGTTCAAAATTAGGCTTATAGAGCAAATTAAAAGCAGTAGAGCACTTAGGAATCTTAAATTTAAATTTAAATAAAATCAACTTAATTTAATAATTTAATTTTACAAAATAAATTACTTAATAATAATAAATTATTCAAAAAGATGATTATATTGTTGTTATGGATATCTGGCTTCATAGTCTCAACTGTTTAGAACATTTCTTTATAAATAGTTATTCTTAAAGAATTTGTTTAGTTAAAGAAATATTTCTCTATCTGAGCTTTAGCCAAATTAAACAGTTTGAGCTGTTAACAGAGTATTTCATAGTCAATCGTACTCGACTGCATTGTTATTAATATTTATGTTTTTTAAAAATATGTTGCGTGTAGTCTGTGGCTGTTCGTCTTACAATTTCTCAGAGTTTTTTCAATTGTCATCCCATTTGTGTCTTTATTTGGTGGCTTTTGATGTCAAAGTCAAACCATTGTCAAATTTGCTTTGATATCACTGCTGTACTACCCCTCAGGCAATGAGACATCGAGATCTAACCCCGACCCTCGCCAACACTTCCAATCAAATGCCAACAACACAAATAAAATGCTCCCGAAAAAAGAAAAAAAAAATCAATGCGACAACCCATGCTGTGTGGGTGTCAAGAAAAGTGAAAGTGCCCCTGGATCTGTACAAAGCCACCCCCGAAAGGGAAAAAACAACACACCCCACATACGAACGACATACATGATATGCTCATCTCATTCTCCGTCTCTCTCTATCTCTGTCACTCTATCTTATTCTCAATCTATAATCATGTGTGTGCCTCAGTTGTGCGGCTTTCTGCCTTTGATATTTAAGCATTTCCGCCATCTTGAAGATGGATTGGGGCAAAGGGGGTGCTTTTAGCCACATACAAGCTTTATAAGAGAGTGCGTTAAAAAGGAAAACTACGCCACTTCAAAACGAACCGTTTTTCGTATGAAATGGCAAATCGGGTTTGGCCGGCTCAGTTAGTTTGGGCCAGACTTCAAAGCGGGTTTTACATTTCGCCAATATTCTCGCGCTTTTGCGGCTTCCCTCAGCGGCGTTCTTTTGACTTCTTTCAACTTCTCCCACTGTGGCCATTGACTTGGGCGTCAGTCGGACGCTACTAAATGGACTTATTTCAGTTATGACTTTGAACAGTGAAAGTATTACCCTGGAATTTCGCGTGTTGAGTTGACATTTGCCGGACACACACATCTGAGGGCGGCTACCTTTTTATGTGAGCTGTTATTTCGGAAAATACCTTATTAAAGATTATTTTTTTTGGTAATTCCCTTGAAGGCGCGGCAACGTTCATAACGTGCTGATAAGTATAATGTGCCACAAATATATACTTAGCTGCTTTAACTTCACGTAAATATGAAACGTTCTACTCAGGATATGTCGTACGTTATTGTAGTAAAATATCAGTGAGTGTATAGAAGTTCAAATCTTCCCTCTTCGTAGATGCAAAATATAATTAATTTATCATTTATATCTACTTTTCGTTCATTATACATATTGAAAGATCTGTGTGAAGCTTCTTTAGGCTTTATTTGGCTTTTATTCTGAGCTAACTTTTTGTTAATTCCTCTTTGACGGCCTTTAATTGTTTGTCGTTGTGTGCTCTGGGTCTGGACTGAGACGCTTGTCTGACACGTCTCAACGGTCTTGCCCACTGCGAGTGTGTATATTTCTAATGTATGTCACGTGACAAAATTGTATAATTTCCAAACAGGCAGCGGACCGCACGTCGCCCATTGTGACATTTCCGGTTAATTTGGCGCCAGCTTAGACGGGCCTCTTGGCCATTGACCGGGAAAGGGACAGGGAGAGGGACAAGGACCGGGACTGGGACTGGGACTGGGACAGGG